CAACTGATTTTAATATTATTATATCCTCTTTAAGTAATATGAATTAAATCAATAATTGATGTAAATTTAAAGAACCAAATTAATAAAAATTAAATTTGACAAACTAAATTGTTAATTAAACAAATTTGATGAGCTAAAAGTTTTATTATGGAAAAAACATTGTAACTAGTCGTAGATCATTGACAGAAAAGAAGGGGGAGGGAATTGGTTATCAAGGAGAAAGGGCCGGGGGGGGGGGGGGGGGGGGAGGGGAGGGGGAGAGGAAACACTATTATATGTTTCCCAATCAGAATGACTCTTGAGCTGAGGCCCAAAAAAGAAAGGAACAGAATAACTTCAATTGTATTATAATATTTTCACGTGAAGCCGTACCTGTCCGTGAGCATATTTTACAATGATACAGTGGAGCTTTTAAGTGTAGCAAATAAATATCTATCTCCATTATATATACTATTTCCCTCCAGCAAATTCCACCGCCTCCTTGTTGGTTTACTGAAAGAATTTTTTATAGAAATAAAATACGAAAGGAAATGAGAAATGCATGGTATATGAAAATTAGAGGAAAATGAATGGAAAAGGAAAAAAGAAAGAAGCAGAGTTTTTAAAAATATGCTTGCTATAAAAATTGCAATTCTCAAAAAACATTGGGAAATACTACAATTACCTACTTTTTAATTATACTTTCATAAAAATCTATCAAAAATCATATACATTTTATTTTATAAATCATGATTTTAGTTTATAATTGATTTTGACCTGTATGAGGCGTTTGGATATAGTATGCATCGTAAGAAAACTTTAGTTAAAGAGAAGAAATGACTCGATCAAAATGACGCTTCTTTGTTGACTCTAAAAGGAGAATCATTAGATGCTTATCCAAAAAAGAAAAAAAGAAGAAGAAAAAACAAGAAGGAGGAGAATCATATATAAGAGCATATAGTGTAACAGTAACTAGAATAGTATTGTAACGAAAATAATAATACAAATAATTAAGATAGCATGTTAGTATTTCCTGGAACTTAAGCATCATTCTAGGATTATTCTTAATTACAAATGTGTATGAAAAAATATTATTTAGACGAAAAAAACTTCTTAAGTAACGTTTAAATTTCTTGAGAAATTAGTTTCATGATTGTCGATTGTGGGGGATCACTCATGGAAAGCTTCTTCTGCTCTAGTTATCTCTCAACTTAAATATTATTTTCTCTCTTTATTTTTCATATAGTTATCTCGTTAAGTCAAATTCAAACATTGTTAAATCTAGTTGAGGATAACTCTTTTAAAGATGATTTTTGTGTTCATACGGACTAATATCTTTTTCAAAAATGTTGTACACATTCAGACAGACCCAAATTTAAAATTTCATGATTAAACAGTTATAGTTCCTTTAAGTAGGATGAGTTGGTTATTGTGCTTTTATAAATGTTCTTAGTTACTATATGACTGACACTCATAGCAGCGTATTCCTCGCCCAAATCTCAGCTTTTTCATTCATTATTATAAAGTAAATATTATTAAACAATATATTGATTTATTACTTATTTTGTCAGCCAAAAATATTTATTCCAACTATAACCTAATTATTATACATATATATAAGAAAAAAGCATTATTTTTTATCTTTATTTCAACTTTCCATAGTCAATACAGAGTCTTGCTTTAGAAGTAAACGTTGAATCATTGAACTCATTTCTCAAACTCCATATAATATTTTTCATATTATATCAAGTTCCTTGCCCCACTGATTCTAACCATTATCATAGTATATTTATTTAATTTCTTTTAGCACTACTTCTTTTGAACATTTTCCAAAGTGAGAAGACAAAAGTAGTGCGGTATGAGCTGTAAAGGCTAATTCTCTTTTGATCTTTTTGTTTCCTATTGTCAATATCTGCGAGAACTTTCTAAAGTCTAATAATGTAAAGACGTCTGATACCAAAAAAACAAATTGTTCCTAGACTATCAAGAAGTTATAATGCTATGAACATGAAGAAACTTCACTTCATGGGGAGTGAAACTTTTGTTTTTTTATAGATTATATGGTCCCCTTTTTCGCTTTTATTAAAGCAGTCTAGATTGGAAAATGAAGATTTATATGTCTAAAGGAAAAGGACAAGGCGTGAATAAAATGTTGGCCATTCCTGGAGCATATTTTACCCCACCTTATCTCTTAAGAAGATGCTCTTCATATCGGGGGAAAATTGATTGTTTAGAATTCGATTTCCTCACATACAACTGCTCATCATTTCTCAAAAGTTTTTTAATTTTACCCCTTATCTATTTATTTAATATTATTTGAATTACTAAACAATAATATAATATACTACCTCCGTCCCAAATTATAAGGCATTTTTGAAGGAGTTTTTTTCGTTCTAAAATATAAGACACTTTGAGTAGATTAAGGTTTCATTAAATGCACCAATTTCAACATTATCCTTCCAATTTTTATAATTAATTTTTATCTCTTTTCTTTTCAATATATTAAATGATGGGTATTTTTAAAAATTTATATTTTTTTTTGAAAGATAAGGTTGTTAAATATATTTAATGAGGTTCATTGGTATGTAAAATTTTATCTAAAAATATCTTATAACTTGAAACGGAAGGAGTAGTTATTAATTGTAAAGAAAGGACAATGTGAGAAAGTTATATTTTTTAACAATTTTAATAATATAACTACAATTTTTTATATGTATGAAGTTGGTTAAATTTGCCTTTTATTAAGGACTAGAGGAGGTATATATTATATCTATATGTTTAAAACTTGTAAATACTGAACAAAAAATTTAGTATATAACACACTTGACTAGCATTACGATTGTACAAAACAAAACAAAAAAATGGAAGAAAGAAAATTTGGATATGTCCAATAGTGGTGGTTACAACTCTTCAAGTGATTAAAACAAGTAAGAATGACAATTCAAGACCTTATAAAAAAGTTAATATCAAATGAGCACATCATCTCAATTTAAATTCCTAGCATTCAGAATTGATCATGTTTCCATACTAATTCAGCATTGAAAATCTTTAAAAAGTTCTGTATTATCACATTAACTTTTTATGGTCTTTAATTAGTTGCGTCATTCTCCATTAAAACAAATTAAAACTAGGTAAAAATAATTCTTGGATATTGATAAAAATGAAATCAAGAGATGGGTTGTTACAGATTCTTGACTTATCGGTCTCCCACTAATAAGCATATAATTATATATCCATTATATTAAGGAACTCGACAATTCTAGAATGAGGACTTCTGCTTTAACACAGCCTTTATCACTTTCGGAATTAATTGTCAATACACTTCATTAGAAGAAAGTAAGTGAGGAAGGAAGGAAGGAAGGAAGATAGTCATAACTTTTTCCTTGATAATTATTAAAGCCTATTTGTGATTCATCACTTTATTTAAAGAGAAGTGACTCAATCAATTGACCTTATCTGTTGACTATAGCTAAATGGAGAATAGTAAGAGCAATATATTGAATAATGGTGCCAAGAACAATATCGCCACAAATATTATATTATGTTAGGGTTCCGAATGATAAGAATAACCATTCTTTACTAGCTTATTGTATGGGGTGTACTGTAATGAGCATGAATCAAGTATTATTCAGAAATTATTGGAGATTCTGCCACTCTTCTAAGATTAGATTCTGATTCTAGAAGATTTTATCAGTCTCTCTTTCTTTGTCTATTATCCCTTCATTTTTATCAAGTTCCTATCATGTTATAACAGAGTTTATGCATTGATCATCTTTAAGTTAGGATGTTAATTAGTGCATTTTTCTCGTGGATAGTTTCTATTTTCTTTGTCTTATCAATATATAGCAACCAATTAGAGGAGTACAAACAATTAGAGGAGTACAAACATGATGTTTCATCCTTTTTTACGCGTAAATAATGATCGTACAATATACAAAATATTTGTCAAAATTGCATAAAACCTATAGTAAGGATTTCTTTTATATCTGGAGTTAAGGAACATTTTACCTTTAATCTGTTTATTCACGAGTACTGGGTATTCTAAATTATCAAAAGAAGGGTTAGGATAGAGTTGTAATTAATTTGAAAAACAATTATAACGATTTAAAATCTACATTAGCCAAAAAAAATTAATTTCACTTAATTTGATGTCCGGAAGCAAAATCTAACACACAACTAAGGGAGTAGAAGTTTTATTAGGTTGCATCTTAAATATTGTTGTTACTTGGTGAAGACATTTACTTTTCAGTGAGTTATTCAAAATCATTTCACTAAACTCTTCAATTTTGATTAACTCAAATTAAATGAAAATGGGAAACTAATAAATAATTGCAATCTGATTGATTCGTGAGAACGATCTTAACTCACCCCACTAGCTACTTAAACCTCTTCGCATTTTCGGGTGTGCATCATTAGAGATTTCATATTCTGCACTGATGACTAATCACTACTATCAATATTGATTTATAGGCGATAAAATTTATAATAAATTGTAATTATAATTAGTAAATTATGATTATATTCTAGCAATGAGCAACTGCACAGGAAAACATGTCTAATTATTTTACCCTACTGCACTTCTCACATAAGTCAAAGAAGTTGAGAAAGTACATTCACACATCTGAGTGCACCCTTTATTTGAAGAATATTTTTACAACGTTTGGTGTAAGAAAATGTAAATAATTAATAATTTTTGTATTCTAAGTGCTATAAATGTTATATTATATTTAAAAATTAATATGCCAAAACAAAGCTCATCGAGTGAAGTACCGAGTACACAGCGTATACAAAATAATTAAGAGGGTGAACACTCGTCTCACTATGACTGCGCATTTCCAATTGCGTAATATTAATTTCAATAATTTTATATTTTCTTGGGGAAAAAAAAGCGTGTGATAGACTTAATCTTCTATGTTAGATATTTTACTTTTTAACTTTTGACTGAAAAAAAAATACTTAAATCTGACAAAATTATCATAGACATCCATATTATATATGTTGCAAGAGTTGCAAGATAATGCTGAAATCAAACGTGTTCACTTCAGGTTTATTCAAGCCCCAAACTGATCATACACATGATGAAAAGCCACAAGTTTATAATATAACAATAACAACAAACCTTGTTTTGAAACACAAACTTACAATATTTACATTAAAATGACTAGTGTAAGAATTTATACAGGCAGTCGCGCTTGCAAATCAAGTTCAATCCCGCATAAGTTGTCCAATTGTGATGGTGTGAAATTGATCTTCTGAATGAGATTTTGGTGGCTTCGCAAGTTCCTTAGACACTTGTTCCATGGTTGGACGAGACCAGGGATTCTCATTCAAGCAAGAAAATGCTATTTTTGCAACCAAGATCACCTCATCTAGGACTGGTTTTCTGAGTGGACAAAGTCGTGAGTCCAACAGATCCTTCAACAAGAAGTCATCAGTGGTTGATTTGTCTGCCAAAGATAAAACAAGCTCTGCAGGATGTGTCCCCATAATGATTTCTAAAGTCAACACTCCAAAACTATAAACATCACATTTCTCGTTGGCTTGCATAATGAAAGCAATCTCTGCAATAGATTTGAAGTTATATATATCCATAATATATGAAAGAGGATTACTATGTTAAGAATAGTTTAAAAAGGTCTTACCTGGTGCAGCATACCCAAAAGTTCCAGCAAATGTGGTCATGTTGTTTGAGTCAGGGTTCAAAAACTTGACCGTTCCAAAGTCAGTGATGTGAGCTTCTTCATATTCCGAACTTAGAAGAATGTTCTTGCTTGATATGTCACGATGAACAATAGGGATTGAACAGCCATGATGCATATGGAATAATGCATTAGCCACACCTTTAACAGCATTCACCCTCTTATTCCAGTCAAACTCAGCGGCTTGTTTCTCATTCTTTAGTATGTTATCTAGGCTGCCACATTCCAGGAACTCATAAACCAATATGGAGAATTGTGAATTGGAGTAAAACCCATGCAGCTTCACAATGTTACGATGTTTGATCTCTGTCAAAGCTCGAATCTCACTTGTAAAAGCTTTCTGGTTGGAGATTTCCCCACTTGGTATTGAATGAAGCTTCTTTACAGCATAAACATCACCTGTAGGCAGCTCAGCTATATAAACACTTCCCTGGCTTCCTTTCCCTATAAGATATTTGTCATCAAATTCCCCTGTGGCTTTGATGATATCTTGGTAAGTTACTTCTTTTTCAAGGCTCCCCACAAAATAAATCTCTTCTGGCGATGCTTCTTCATCTTTGCTTTTTGTTTTTCTTGCTCTTTGATAAAAAATGTATAATGCTCCAACAAGTACTAATAGCAGTATGGCCAATGGGAGGAATATTATCAAGAACTTCCTGATCCTATGGCTCTGTCCATTTGGTTTGGGTTCGAGATCACCACATGGATTCAAACCAGTGACGTTACCGCACAAGCCTTTATTATTCCTCAAAGCAGCGAAGTTTTGAAAGGCTTGAATTTTTGGAATGGGACCTTCTAATTGATTGTATGATATGTCAACAGTAGACAAAGCTGACATTGGACCGAAAATGGAAGAAATGGTGCCAGAGAGATGATTATGCGAGAGGTTCAATACTTGCAACTTGAATAACATTCCAAATGTCGCCGGTATTGTTCCAATCAGCAAATTGTCACTGAGATCAAGTTGTTCAAGTACTTGGAGTTCACGAAACTCAGGGGGAATGCTTCCATCAAATCTGTTTTTGCTCAAATTCAAGAAAATTAAGCTTTTTAATTCTCCAACCTCTCTTGCGATTGAGCCATTGAAATTATTTGCAGCCAACTCCAAATCTGTAAGTTGACTAAGCGATCTTATTTCTGAGGGGATATTGCCTGAAAAGTTATTGTGGCTCAAAGAGAGTTGTGTCAACGAGGTCAACTTCCCTAGCTCTTTCGGAATTTGTCCAGACAAATGATTTGAAGACAAGTTAAGTTCACCAAGCTTACTCGCCTCTCCTAGTTCTGGTGGTATAACACCAGAAAGCTCGTTATTATGAATAAACAGTTGTGTGAGGTTTGGACACTTGCCCCACGTGGATGAAAGGCGGCCATACAATTTATTGCCACTTAGATCAATGAAGTTCAAATAGGGATATACTCCAAAAGCATTTGTTATGTTATCAACTAACTGGTTATTATCAAGCCTGAGTCTTTCTAGACTAGAACAATTCTGCAAACTCGTTGGAATAGGACCGTTGAAATCGTTATCATTAGCAGAAAACCTTTGCAACGTCCCACTTTGACAAATTTGTTGTGGCAAAGGGCCAGTGAAATGATTATAACTCAGTTGTATGTTATACAAAGCTGTCAAATTATTCATTTCTTGTGGAAGTTGACCAGTGAGATCGTTGGCGCCCAAGATTAGGGCGCTGAGACTTGTCAAATTTCCTACAGTGGAAGGAATGGATCCTGAAAAACTGTTGTTTTGAAGATAGATCTCAGGCACATTGATCAAGTTACCAATGGATGAAGGAATTGGACCGGAAAAATTGTTCTCATGCAAGTCCAATTCTTTTAGTTTTGTTAGGTTTCCAATAAAGGGAGAGATTGGCCCCGAAAGTCTATTAGAATATAAATAAATGACAGTGAGAGAATAGAGTTTCCAGAATCCATTAGGAATAGGACCCGAGAGATTGTTCTTATAAAGATAAATTTCTTGTAACTTGGTCAAGTTTCCAATTGAAGATGGGATTCTACCTGACAGAGAGTTTTCTCCCAAATAAAGCTTCAAAAGATTACTTAACAATCCAATCTCTTCTGGAATGGGACCGGAAAGGGAGTTTCGGAGAAGCGATAGGAGCGTCAAATTCCTCAAATTGCCAATTTCTTGGGGAATTTGCTCACTGAGTTTACATCCACCAAGATCAAGATTATTCAGGGTGGTTAGTTTCCCGATTTCAGGAGGGATGGGACCACTAAAAGAATTACCTGACAGTTGCAGCTTCAAAATACTGGACAAGTTACCAATTTCATGGGGAATGTTTCCATAAAATTTGTTGAAACTCAGATCAAAATTTTGCAGATTAGGAAAGGAAGTGAAGTTGAGACTCGCAAGAGTACCTTGTAGGTTGAGATTTCGTAGACTGATGTTGATCACGGACATGGATTCGTCACATGAAATTCCCTTCCAGTTCTGCCTGCAAGGATTACTGTCATTCTTCCAAGAGGACAAGGTAGCTTTGCTTTCATCCTTAAGTTTGGTTTTCCAGTTCAGCAAAGCTTTTGCTTCGCTATGATCATCAGTAGCAGCATTTGCAAAGGAAGCAATACAGGAGAATATGCAGAGAATACACCATAATGCTAGCAGCTTAGTGGAATCTCTTTCAGGCATAGCTTTTGGTAAAATTTTGAATGGGGAATATATTCAGAGACTGAATATTATGGTTGCACTTGTAAATGGTTGGCACAGGTGAAGCTTGGGATGCACATCGATGCGGACCTTCTTTTATACTATGGATTCGCCCCAAGAAAGATTAATAAGCCAATGCTTTAATTTATTGGAGTTTTTGCTGCTGATAGCTTCTTTTCATGTTATATCCTATTTTAAGCGATATAAAGTAGATGATTTGGTTCTTTTAAAAAGTGTGGGAACAGAGGATACAGACGTGTTATTTTGGACACTAACTGTGTATATCAGCTTAAATTTATTAGTTTGGGATATCTCCAGGACAACCCCTGCATACCCTTCTATCTGGAGTCAAGAAACTCTCGTTGAGAGGGTGGAATGTGTTGCTTAGGACTTGTTCATTTGTGTTCTCATATTTTATTTTTAAAAATTATTTTCCAAAAAATCTTTAAAATTAATTTTAAAACGGAATAAAAAGAAAATTTGTTTAATTGTATTAATTTAAAAATATTTTTAGAATTAAAAAACTAGTCTATAGTGATAGTTACTTGCAATTAATAGTAGTGGTTTTTATTAGTTACGGTGACTGAAGTTTTCAATAATAAATATAATATGCTCCTTTGGTCTTATTTCTAGGGCAAAGGGTGAAGAAAAAATTTGGTCCTATTTATATGGCACTTGCTAATTTTCAATGATTTTGTTTACATTTTTTCCTTCATTAAATGTTTTGAATAAAAAATATTAATAACGAGATTTAAAAATATTTATTAGGATAAAGGTGAATATTTATTAAATTTTAAGACAAAGTTAATAAGATTTAAAGTTTTTCTTAATTTTAGTGAAATATGCTGACAGTGACTTATAAATAAGATTAGAGAGAGTATTTTGAAAATAAGAAAAATAAAATGAAAACAACTTCAAGACATTTCTAATTTTTTTTGGTTTCAAAAAAATTGAGAACAATTTTAAAAACAATTATATTTGAAACACTTATTTAGACAAGTTTTTTAATTTTTTTAAAAACAAAAAATAATTTTTTAAAATAGAAACAAAACATGTCCTTAATTTTTCTTGTAAACAATTACCACAACGAAAGCAAAAAAAAATATAAAAAATTCTTTAAGTTAATTATTAGATTTTTTTTCTAAAACTCCCTTACTAAATTTGGGGTTCAAGAAGAGAAATTTGGAATTCATAGAAAAAATGTTAGCAATTAATTGAGAAGAAATATGGGAAAAATTATGCTTCACAAAAATTTACCATTGTTGTTGTTGGATCTAGCCCTCATTTTAGACCTTTCCGTAACCGGCCCCGTGGACATGGCTCCCTCCATTTTGATATGTGTCAGGTTTAGTACTAGGCTTTTTTCACAACAACTAGGTATGGTATCTTCTCATATTTTTTTGGGAACATAACAAGAGTTTAAAAGCTGGAAATTTATTATATTTATGTGCTGGACAAAATTTTCCTTACAAATATTGATTTAAATAGTTAGAATAAGAATTTCAAATATAAATTGAAAGTGATACTTAAACTGAAAGGCTTATTTACAATTATAATTCTTGAATTTATGACTATTTAAATCAAAATATATATATATATATATATAATTGATTTTTTTGATAAATTTTGTCAAGGACCAAACTATTATAAATTTATTATTGATTTTAATATCATTCTCCTTATTTTTTTTGGGCAAATAACTTCAAAATTCATGAATAAGGATTCTAAATACTCTAAGGCCCCATGAAATGGACAAACTAGCCCCAATCTTAAATCTTTTATTTTAAATATATTTTATGTTTAATGGCGAAAATACTCTTACTATTTTACTTTTTTTTTTTAAAAAAATGTATCCACTACCAACCACCAGAGCTCCAGTTGGTAGTTGGCAACCAAAGCCCACTGCCAGCATCGGCCAGGGAATTATTGGTCATGAGTTGGTGATGGGAGGCTTTGAGGGCACAACCTCTTGGATCCTAAAAGATTATAACACCAAAATGCACACAAATTGTTACACCACAAGTGTATAGATTAATATATAATATGTTAGTGTGTCAAGATTGATCCCATCAGGAATCAAGCAAAATAGTGGTTAGGTAACAAACTTCTCACTTTTATTTAAGTTAAGCAAAACTAATTGAAATTGATTGATTAACTAAAATTAAAATTGAATTTAATAAAATGCAACAAGATTCTTTATCCAACAACTGCTTAAGTAAAAAGCAACTTAGAGTCGGTAGTCCCTTATTAACTTCATAGACTCCATTTTAATCTAATTAGTTAATTAATTTTAATGCCAGTTTTATTAATTAAATCCACTAACAACCTCTCTTAAATTAATTATGTTGTGTATAACACAATTATTCAAGAGTCAATTCAAACTAATAACACTCCACAAATGATTATATGGGGCAATTAGATATAAGTAAATCCTAATTACAAATTAGATAAAAATATAATTCCATGTTATTCAATCTAATAGTCCAAATAAAATTTTCCTTTATTAAAAAAAGAAGAAATCCCAACACACAAAATCCCATGTAGGGATATTGGGACATAAAATTCAAATTTTGGTTATTTTTAATCTTTACTTACAAACAGCATTTTGACTCTTGATTTAGACCATCTTACATATAACATATAATTTTAGCTCAAGTAATTAATTCATTTCAATAAGATGCTATCAATTCTCCCTTCTCATTTTCCAAGGCACTTGTCTTATTTTTTTCTCAAATAATATTCTCATTTTCTCTCAAAATTAATTAGATGATTCCAAATTGAACCCAAAATTTCCTAATAACATATAATATATATATATATATATATCTGCAAAATATTTTATATACTTTGCACCAAGGAAGACAAGTTGGTTAAATGAAATTTAATGGCAATATTGTGTAAGGTACTTGTTATTTATGTTGGGTCACCTATTAATGAAGAAAATACCCCTTGACCAGTCAATGTCATATGAGATACTTGTTATTTATCGTGGGTTACTTGTTAATGGAGAATACACTCATTTAATAGTCATTATTGTATAAGATATATGTATACTTGTTATTCACATTGGATCACTTGTTCATGAAGAATATGCTCATTTAATAGTAAAGTAAAGGTATTTTAGTATTTAAACATAAAATATATTTAAAATAAAATATTTATAACTTGAGGGTAGTTTTTCGTTTCTTGGGACCTTAGGCCTCGTTTGGTATGATTGAATAGTTTTTGATGGAATTGGAATCGGAATCGAAATTAGAATTGGAATTAGAATTGGAATAGAATTGGATTACAAAAATATGTTTGGTATATCAAAAAAATTAGATGGAATCCTTACATTATTTTTGTTTGGTACGTAAGACATGGAAATGAAATTATACTTAAAAGACAAAAATACCCCTATATAGAAATTAAAATAAAACATAATAAAAGCTTAATTGTGTTTCAATTTCTTTATGTATTTTATATGTTAATGAAATATTATATAGATGATAGATATTATATATAAGTAAAATATTTTACAAAAAAAATTTTAATTTCCTCACATGTTTAGTATATAAATAAAATATTAGATAGATGACAAATATTATATATAAGTAAAATATTTCATAGAAGAAATATTATAAATACATATATCGTATTATATTTTACACATACACACATATATTATAATTGGGTGTAGTCATTTTTGGGTATGGTTAGGGTTATATGTTTTTAGAGCAAAATTGTCTTTCTATAATTTTTATGAGGGTAAAAGTGTCTTAAAAGTTACAATTCTATGGAATTGTCCTTGATTCCATAGCTTTAAACAAAGAATTCAATTCAACCTATTTTCATGGAATTGGGATTTTTGAGAATTATGATTCATGTCTACCAAACATTACTTTATTCAGATTCTTTTTCCAATTCCATTTCCATTTCTACAATTTCAGTCTACCAAACATGGCCTTAGAGTATTAGAATCCCTATGAAAAAATTTGGAGTGATTTTCCTTAATTATTTTTTTATCACTACTCTAAGCCTCTAGCTCGTATTATTTACCTTTGTAGTTTACTTTTTTTTTTGTCTAGCTAGTTGTTGTTGCATTAAAAAAAAAAACGGTTGTAACCAACATATTCTCCAAATAATAATAATAATAACCACCCAAGGAAAAACTAGGAAGAATGATAATAAGGTTCTAAAAGAATGAATTAATGATAGTTAAATACTTGATAAAATTTTTTGTAAAATAAATTATAAATATTAATTTAAACAATTATAAACAAGAATTCGAAGTGCAAACTAATTATTATAATTATAATTTAAATTTTATATTTGTAATTGAAACTTTAAATTTTTAAATCAATATTCATAATTAATTTTTTTTAAGTATCGAGACCTAATTATCATTAACTTTCTTTTTTAAACTTAACTGTGGTTCTTCCAAAGAATAATGTTACAACATCGCGCAGTCCCTACATACCTTTACCTGCCAATTGAACTTTGCTTATGTGCATGCTTTTGACTGGGACTTAGTGGCATCATATCATGATCAATTTGCTTTCCTCACCTTGTTAAGAGATCAGAAAGCATGCTTTACTTTATACTCATTTTTTTTTAAAAAAGCAAGCATTAGTTTAGAGTTTTGACGCAATTAAAGCGTCAGAATCTGACATGATTTTCTTGGAGATTATAATGCCATGCATTACAATTAAAGCGTCACAATTAAAGCTGGTCATTACTTTTAGCTGACTAAATAAAAGTTTTGTTGGGGTATTTAGTAACTATTTTATTTGATTTATTTATATCTATTAGCTGGATATTTCTTTTAAATATAAATGACATGCATGACAATCAATTTAAAATGATATTATTTTATAACAAAAAAGATAATTTTGAAAATTTTGAGGGATTACTCATTCGCTATTTACGAAGTGTATAAATGCCATAAAAATATATACAAATGATAGGGAAATAAAATGCATTGGATTTGCTTCCCTTTGCAGAAAATGATTGTAACAACCTCTCGCGCACTACACTACAAAAAATTATCTTTGCCAATAGAACTTTGCTGATGCGCTTGCTTTTGACTGGCATCGCACTTATAGTCCACTTTCTTTTCTCACCTCTTACAGATCAGGCAAGCGT